ATGAGATTTCTTTTTCAAATCAAAACAATATTTAGCCAAGTGACCAAAACGACCACATATATCACATTTAAACACATGAGCATGCTTATGATGAACTTTATGAGTGTGTGCATGTACACATGTGTGTGATGAAGAAGCCTTATGAGATGCACAAGAAGCATTAACCTTAGAAGATTTGTTTGCATCATAACAAAATTTAGCAATGTGGCCTTTACGATCGCAAATTGAGCATTTGTAAATTTTGCTATACAAGTGTGCATAGTATGTAGGTGATTTTGTAACACTAAGTTTAGCACACTTATCCATAAGTTTCTTATGGTTATCAATGTATGTATTAAGAGTTGAGTCTACATATGAAATGCGATTTTTAACAACATTCAACTCATCATTTGGCACATATACATTTTTATTAGAAGTAGAACATAAATAGTCATTTATAAAAGAAGCAGTATCATTTTTTATGTTCTTTACTTCTAACATGGTATTATTTTTGTCATGAGTCAAGTTAGCAATATTTAATTTCAAATTATTATTTTATAAATTTAACATATCATTGTTTTCTCAAAGAGTAATACTTTCTTGAGAAATGATATCAAATTTGGAAGCTAACTTCTCATGATCGGATTTTAAATCTTCATGCTTACTTTGCAAATCAATAAAATTTTTATGCAATATGTTATAGACATGTAATAATTTTTTACTAGCACAAGCAAGTTCATCACTAGATAAATCATTAGTGGTTTCGAACTCGCAAACATCACTAGGACTATCGCCTAGTGGTCGTATGCATGATGCTCCATATGAACTTGAAGCTGGATCCTTCATAGCTCGTCGGATCGCCTCCAAGTCCCCTTGACGTGCTTTAATAAATTTCCATAAGGTGTAAGCATTATCAAAATGAACAAACTTGTTAGAGAGAGATGAGTTAAAAGAATTTAGCAAATATTCTAACAAAATATTGTTCACAGTATTAATCATTCTATGATCATCTTTACTCCACTTGTATTTCTCCAAATTAGGTACAATATAAGCACAATCTATAATTTTCCATAATTCAATATGTTTAGAATGAACAAAAAGTTTGAATCTAACACTCCATTGGGCACAGGGAAAATTATCCAAACGAGGAGCAACATTAGTGGCATAACCTAAACAAGATGCACCGTGGATATCCATAATGTATATATATGCAAGCAAGATAACAATAAAATCACAAAACTAGATTAGTACAAAAATACGATAACTTGGATCTTTAACTCAAGGCGATTAGTCCTTAAATAAAAGAGCACCAAACTCTGATACCAATTGTTAGACCCTAGAGGGGGGGGGATTAGGGTCTTATGCTAATCTAATCCAATTTTATGCCAATTAAAACTAATTATCAAGTTATTCTTGCAAGATAGATATGAAAAGAGTTATGTACAAAAATATGCAATATGAACAAATGGATATATCCTAGCAATGAAATATGTGGTGAAATATATGCAAGGATATATAAACTAACACAAGGGTGAAACAATATAGTGGATGATATAAATAAGCAAAAGAACAATAGCAATATAAGATATGAACACAAGAAATAATTGCGCTAAAGACAAAGCAAACACAAGCAAATGATCACAGAGTTCGAACCTTCCGTCCTACGTCTCCGCTCCCCACTCCCGGGGAGAAATCCACTATCACAACCGGGTTTTTTACGCTCACCCGAATAACGTTACACCTCACAATTTGATTCACAAAGTTCGGTCCCCACGACTTACGTCTCTGCTCCTCACCTTAAGGAAATCTCCACTACACACTCGGTTTTCTAGCTAACCTAAAACTTTACAATCTCACAATATAACAACAAATTGATTTGTTCTCTAATACAAGGTGAGAACTCAATTAAGCACAACTCACTGTTATAATCTCTCACAACCCCAATATATTATGTATGTAAATACTAAAAGCTCAATGTGGGTGTGTGTAACAATGAGATAAATCAAATCTAAACTCAATATAAAACTAGCTTTAATAAAATGATAAACAAACAAATAAATATAAAGCTAGAAATAGAGTTTAGAAAACTTCTCAATGGATCAAGAGGTAGACGAAGAATAGTTGGATGCTCAAACACCAATGATTGATCTCCTCAATCTCTTGTGAAATTAATTTTACAAAACAAACTCTCAAATTGCTTAAAAGCTTCTTAAAAAAAACTTAAACAAAAACTTAAACCCTTGTTAAAACTTTGTTAAAAACATTTCTTTGATCTGTTGAGAACTGAGATCAATGGGGTATTTATAGCCTCCCAAAACCTCAGCCAAAAGCCCAACAGAAATGACCAAAAAACCAACAGAATCGGAAATTAGATTCTGTACAAAATGACCATTGGAGTGAACGGTGGTCGACTGTGAAAATCTCGCGGTCGACCGCGAGCCACTTTCGAAACTTGGGTCGACCGTGGGAATTTTCGAGCTGACGGTCGACCGTGGCGGTCGACCACGAAAGTTGCTGATGGTTTCACATGGAAAAACAAAGGCGCGGTCGAACGTGACGACCGACCGTAAACTGACATATGAGAAAACGGGTTTGAAAGATGATTTTTTGATTTTAAAACCCTGTTTAAAAATATTAAATAAATTCTAAAAATATAAAACTTTGGAAAATGATTGTAGACATGATAATACACATGCTACAAAAACTGGTTTTTAGAAAGGACCTCCCAAATGAAAAATATCATCATTTTACAAAATAGTCCAAAACATTAAAATGTAAACATATGAATTTTGACATTTTGGCTAAACCATGTTTTGAAACAATACAAAATGATTTTGTAGACTTAATAGAAGATGTAAACTATTGTTATGAAGTCTATAAATAATGAATATAGTATTTTATCAAAATACATATATAATGCACTAAAACATGATTTCATTGAACTAAATAAAATTGATATTGATAAAATCATATATATGCATATAAGTATGAAACAAGAAATATATTTTCAATTGTATTCAATTGTTTCATAGTAAAACTTGAAAACTATCAAACCAAAACATATATGTATATATATAACTACATATATACGAAACCAAAACGTGTGTGTGTGTGTGTGTATGATTGAACTTAAAGTACTAACACACATAATATAAACCTAAAACTAAATTTACCCAAGCTTGTGATCTTCAACGAAGCTCTATCTTGGTACACTTACGGATGAAGCTTGAACTTGAATTTTTAACTTTGAATTGCGTAGGCTTCATACCATAATTCCGCCAACCTCTATTTGATATGATCGTGAATGCTTGATTCCATCCATCCTCCAACATATTGTTTGCCTAGAATAAATATAAAATACAAACACTAGACAAACAATATTAGATGTAAATTATTTGTAAATCATCATCAAAACAAGATGGCTAACATCGGGATGCAATCAAGCTAAGGTTGTTTCCCTTCTCACTAAGAGACAAGGCAAGGGCTTGGCTGCAATCACTTCCACCGGGCTCCATCACTACATGGGACCAACTCTCAGAGGCGTTCCTTGCTAAATATTTCCCTCCGAGCAAAACAGCCTAATTGAGGAATCAGATAACAACCTTCACTCAGAAAGAATGGGAGTCATTGTATGATGCATGGGAGAGATACAAGGATCTTCTAATAATGTGTTCACATCACGAGTTGAAGGATTGGCTCATAATTCACACTTTCTACAACGGTCTTCTCTACAACACAAGGATGATCGTGGATGCTGCGGTGGGTGATGCATTGATGAACAAAAGTGTACGAGATGCAAAACAACTCATAGAGGATATGGCATAGAACCATATCCAATGGTCAGGTGAGCGCTCTTTACCCAAAAAGAGCGGTAGGTATGATATAGATGCATTAGACCACATTGCTTATAAAGTATATGCTTTATTTCAGAAATTTGATAAGATGAGCATGAATTCATTAGCACCTAACCCAACTAACTGTGAAATATGTGGTATCATTGGACATTCTACTATGGCATGTCAGATTGGAAACTCCCCTTTCCCTGATGCATCATTATCTGAACATGTTAATTATATGAATAATTTTAATCAGAAAGGGGACCTTTTTTCCAATATGTACAACCCGGGGTGGAGAAATCATCCTAATTTATCCTATAAAAATCCATCCCAGAACCGAAATCCTCACTCTAATTTTCGACCTCCAGGTTTTCAAGCCCCTAGATTCCCTTACCCTAGTCCCCAAAAGTCTAATTTGGAGAGCTTGATGGAGAATTTTGTGACATTCTAGAATAAGCAGAATAAAGAATTTAGAAATCAGAATAGGATCATGAATGATGCTATTAAGAACCTAGCCTCTAAAGTTGACTCTTTAGCCACCCATAACAAAATGCTAGAGAATCAGATCACTCAATTAGCTCAGCAATTTAGCTCTTCTTCTAGATCTTCAGGGATGTTTCCTGAACAATATGAAACCAACCCTAAGGGATCTATCAATGCCATCACACTTAGGAGTGGAAAAGAGTTAGAGGGACCAATGATGAGGAGTGATCATAGGGATGTAGTTGATGAGAGTGAGAAGTTAGTGACAAGTGAAAAAGAGCATGCTGGTGAGAAAGGAGAGAAAGTTGAGAGATATGTTGCACCTGCACCTTACAAGCCTCTACTACCCTTTCCTCAAAGGCAAGTTAAGGCTAGGTTGGAAAAGCATTTTGGAAAATTCATAGAAATATTAAAAAATTGCATATTAACATCTCATTCGTTGAAGCCATATCTCAAATGCCCTCCTATGCCAAATTCTTAAAGGAGATTCTGTCAAACAAGAGACGATTAGGGGAGTATGAGACCGTAGCCTTGACTCAGGAGTGTAGTGATATAATTCAAAATAAGTTACCACCTAAGCTTTAAGATCCTAGCTCGTTTTCTATTCCTTGCACAATTGGTGATATATCAATTAATTGTGCTCTATGTGATCTTGATGCTAGTGTCAGTCTTATTCCATTGTCTATATGTAACAAGTTGTAGATGGGAGACTTGAAGCCCACTACTATCTCCCTCCAATTGGCAGATCGATCGGTTAAACGTCCGGTAGGTATATTAGAGGATGTATCTATCCAGGTTGGTAAATTCTATATTCCGGTTGATTTTGTTATTCTTGAAATTGAGGAGGACTCTGAAATCCCCATTATATTGAGAAGACCTTTCCTTACTACCGCTGGAGCGATAATTGATGTGAAGAATGGAAAGCTCTCTCTCAATATAGGGGATGAAAAGGTAAATTTTGACTTGTTTTCTACTACGAAATTTCCACTAATTGATAATACTTGTTGTAGGAATGATACGATTGATATGGTGGTTAGAAAAGACTTTACCAGAGATATCTCAAATGATCCACTTGATAAATGCTTAGCAAAGGATGAAGCCTCTGTTGATGATGATCAGGAAATAACTTCCTATGTTACGATGCTTGATGAAAGCCCAACCTACACCAAAACCACCTACATCAAAGGACCTGATGCAGTGGCCGAAACTGCAAAAGAGTTGAATGCCCAGGGCGCAGACACAGTCATGTCAAAAAACAGCAAAAACAGCCCAGAACAGGTTTGTGAAGAGAAAACTGCACCTGGAAAGTTGTTGAATAATGATTCCACATGGTCAGGGTGTGTCCGTAGACACAGTCGTGTCAAAAAGCAGCAGAAGAAGTCTAGAACCAGTCCATCTCCACTAGTTGAAGTAGAACATAAGGCACATTGGGCTATCAAGAGCATTCATTTACATTTGAAAGAAGCAGGGGAATAGAGAAAGCTTCAACCAAATGAACTTGATGAATTGAGATTGGATGCGTATGAGAATGCCAAGATTTACAAAGAAAGAATAAAAAAGTGGCATGATCAACATATCCTCTATAAAGAGTTTACAGAAGGAGACTTGGTACTTCTACTTAATTCTCGACTAAAGCTTTTTCCGGGAAAACTTCGTTCGAGGTGGTCAGGACCATTCCAAGTGCGTAAGGTATACCCATTTGGGGTTGTTGAAGTATGGAGTGAAGCCACGGGAACCTTCAAGGTCAATGGACAGCGGTTAAGCATTATTTTGCGGGAACTCCGATCGAGAAGCTGGGTACTTGTACCCTTCCCGATCCATCGTCATTATGAGCATTGAAGGGGTCGAGCTCATGATCATAAACGAGCGCTTCTTGGGAGGAAACCCAAACTTTTCTTTCACTTTATTTTTCTTTTTAGTGTTTGATTTTAATTAGTTTTCTAATTAGGTTGACGTGAATTGATGTGCAAGTAGATAACGAGATGGATAACAAAGAGTTCAAAGAAAAAAAGGAGAGAGAAGGAGATGATTAAGGAAAAATGCTGAAAACACAGTTTACACGGCTAGGCTGTGTCCACCAATACAGCCATGTAGCAGTCGGGACGGTCTTCATCTCATTTCCAGTGTCTACCACACCCTGGGAAGGCGCCTACCACACCCATGGTCAAAAAAAAATACCAGACCCTCCTGTCCTCACTTCTTCCTCATTCAAACCCCCATACAAAACCACCACTGACCTCCCAATTAGTTTCTCACCTCCCAAAAGCCTACTAATCCCCATTAATTTCCTCCCCCCCCTCCCATTAACTACACCAAAACCCAAACGTTCATAAAACCCACTTACTTCCCTAAAGAGCCCAAGCACCTCTGACCTTCCCTCACAACCAGCACCAACAACCTCCCCCAACATTAATTTTTTGCATTCCCCTATTTAAAATTTTGTTCTATCTCTCCCACCAACTTCTGACCTCTTCATTAAAAACCCACTGCCTTTTCACCTACACCAAAACCCTCTCACCATTTTCACCTCTAATTCACTGCAGGAGAGTCTCCAACACCAAGACACAACCCCTATAGTTCAACCGAGAGTAGCACCAAGGAAGAACAAAACAAAGTTCTGATCCATTTGGCCCCATGGCTCCAAACCGCAGAAAAACAAATGAAGCAACAACCTCCAATTCTCCATCAGCATCGCAACAACGATCTATAAGGGGTTCATTAAATTAGAACGGGGGCAACAACACTTAAGAGCTTAAGAGCGGTGAGTCTCATTTCTCTTCCTCATTTATGATTATTCCCACACATTAAGGACAATGTGCAATTCAAGCATGGGGGAGTGATTTTGTTGGGATGATGTTTCATATATGTTTTGGAGTGTTTTTCTTTGTATTTTTGAGTGCTTGTTTTCTGTGTTGGGATTTTTCATTTAGCTTTCTAAAAAAAGGAGAGAGAAGAAAAAGAAAAAGAGTATCACTGTTTGAAAACCCTTCTAACACGTGCATCATTTATTTCACAGGCCCCCATTGTTAAAAAAAAAATCTTTGTTTCATGTTCAGTTGATTAGGATGTTATCTGTTCGAGTTCCACTTTGCCGATACTTAACTCTAAACATTGGAATAGATAGGAATGACTTTTGGCTTAACCCATCTAATTAAAACCTAAGCTTCTTTGGTGACTTAGACTACTTTTTGTTACTAGAGAAACACTCGGCCTTGAAAAAAGAAAAAGAAAAAAATGGGTCCTAAAGTCTGTTGCACCGACTACCTGGCACCACACCCTCAGAAGTATAGTGGTCACGTTGGTAGGTGTTAATTATGACGGGATCTTATAAAAAATGAATAAATAAATAAAATGCAAGGAAACCGAGTGCTCCTTTGAGACCTTAAGCAGGAAGAGTATGACCCATTGTGATGAGATATGTGTCTATCACGAGGAGTTTTGGGCAATCAACTAAAAAAATTTATCTTTGCCATGCCATTTTTTTTCCAACGTTTATGAGTTGAGTCACTTGCACTAACGTACGTGAACGCCTACAGATACATTTTATTCAACTTTGAACTTGAGACAAGATCTCTATTTTGACATTGGGTTGAGTGGACTAATGTTGCATGTGAACTTGAGAATAGTGGATATCCTTGTGCTTATTTTCTATTTTTGTTGTCATTTCTTTGAATCTGTACCCTCTCATGTGTGTGTTTCCATCTGTTTTGCTTGAGGACAAGCAATAGTTCAAGCATGGGGGAGTTGATAAACACAAATATTCTCTATAATTTGACAATATTTCACCTATGGGTTTGTTGTTATTTGATATATTTCCTTACACTTTTTCCCTGTTAAGCTCCCTAGTTCTTGTTTACTGCTCTATTTATATATTGTGTAGAAATTACTGGAGCTTAGAGCGGATTCGGAGTCAAGAAGGAGTCAAGGAATGCATGGAAATAGGCTACACGGTCCCCCAGTATTCAACAACACAGACGTGTTGATTACAGAAGAAAAGCCCAGAGAGCAGAACGAAATAGAGTTAAACACGGTCTGGTCATGTTGATATACACAGCTGTATCGGTATCAGTATTCAGTTATTACGAGATTTGAAGCAAGATTTGAAGTTACTTGTTAACGCAATCTTTCCCAAAACTTAAATGAGGACGCCCAGAGGCATGAAAAACGACCAGAGACTGGAGATTTCAATTTTTCTTTCTTCTTGTTCTCCCCATCTCTCTAAAAACTCTTAGATTAGGATTTCTTTAATTTGGCAAAGTGTTGGTTGTGAAGAATCGTGTGCAACATCTTGATTTCGACGCTACAGTTTATTTTTTCTAATTTATCTTATTTTCCAGTTTATAATTATGATCTTATACATTGTTATCTTGCCTTCTATTTTAATTATGTGTGAGTAATTATTTTTTCTAGGATTGAATTAGGTTCGACTATGGTTATGAATTGATGAACTGATCTTGTAGTTATCATTAATTATTTGATTTGTATTATTCAATTGCTAGTATTTAATTGCCTAGGGTTAATTTAATTGGCCACTTATTTGACTCCTTTAGGATGTTGATTTGAACTGAAAGGTTAGATTGACGCCGAAAAATAGTAATTGAATAGGAATTAATTGATCACGAAGTAGGTTAATTATTCTTGGGAACATAAGGGACTAACGTGAACTTAATGGGTTTAATTTAGTTTAACACCATGAAAATAGGTTATTAGATTGAATTAGGCATGCCTTTTAGTCATTCTAAAAACTCTTAGATTAGGATTTCTTTAATTTGGCAAAGTGTTGGTTGTGAAGAATCGTGTGCAACATCTTGATTTCGACGCTACAGTTTATTTTTTCTAATTTATCTTATTTTCCAGTTTATAATTATGATCTTATACATTGTTATCTTGCCTTCTATTTTAATTATGTGTGAGTAATTATTTTTTCTAGGATTGAATTAGGTTCGACTATGGTTATGAATTGATGAACTGATCTTGTAGTTATCATTAATTATTTGATTTGTATTATTCAATTGCTAGTATTTAATTGCCTAGGGTTAATTTAATTGGCCACTTATTTGACTCCTTTAGGATGTTGATTTGAACTGAAAGGTTAGATTGACGCCGAAAAATAGTAATTGAATAGGAATTAATTGATCACGAAGTAGGTTAATTATTCTTGGGAACATAAGGGACTAACGTGAACTTAATGGGTTTAATTTAGTTTAACACCATGAAAATAGGTTATTAGATTGAATTAGGCATGCCTTTTAGTCATCGAAAGAGGCTAATAGTTATCATAGGCTAGTCGTTCCTAATGCATTGAGAGGTTTGATAACGATTGATTAATTTGTTGATTCAAACCAGAGTTGAAACCAAAGTTCAATCCTAGATTCTTTTAATTGAGTACTAGTTAGCGTGTTCGTTATTGATTCTATAATTAAAATCAAACTACCCATCACGATTGGTCTAGATAGTTACAAAATAGTGAAAATCAATAATTAACAACAAAATCCCTAAGGATACGACCTTGTATTGCTACAACGATATCCGTGCACTTGCGGATTTGAGTGAACACTGACTACCACTCTTCTGAGTTTATCGGGAAAGCTCAGTTGTTACCAGCAAGTGGTAGAATTATTTTATTATCGCATGTGATTTTCAATCTACATATCCACATTTTTGCTGCTATACCAGTTCTTAAGTCCATCATTTATGATTTGAAAAAAATTATGTCTTAACTTTTTTTGGTGTTATATTGATGGAATTTCCAAACATCTCTAGTGTAACTGGAAAACCTAAAGAAGAGGATGGCGTTGGCATTCGAAAGTTTGATGACTTTCAGAAGGCTTTCTCTTTTAAGATGGTGTGGGATTTTCTCCATGGTGATTCTCGCTAGGCTTTTTATGTGAGAGATAAATATTTGAAGGGTGATCATCTCTTAGCTTCAAGTGTCCACTTCCTCATCTCCTATTTAGAACATGTTAGTTTCTCATGTGAAAGAGGTTAGGGCATGCTCTAAATACCTTATTCGATTTGGCAAGGCTAATTTTTGGTTCAACCGATGGTGAGGGGATTCATTGTTAGAATGTTGTTCAAGTTGTAATAATGATCGTATCATATCTCTTGTTTGATTAATAGTAAACTCTCATTTGCTATATGATGAGTTTGTGAGATAATATATTTCAAGAATAAACAGGTATGAACAAGTTGTGGTTTAAAATGATACAAAAATCAATACAATTAGTTGATTTTAGCCTTGAACCATTGATGACCTCGAGGCACCATCAATGGTGACACTAGCCATCAATGGACTACAATCAATAATCTATATTTTCCAAAAATGAGAAATTAAACTATCTATGAACTACAACCTACCATCAACAGTCGCTTCAATCATTGATGGACTACAGTAAAATATCTATAATTTTTAGAAACAAGAATGTGAACAATTAGTGGACTACATGCAATCATCGATGATCATCAATGCTCCATCA